TAATAATAATAATAATAATAATAATAATAATAATAATAATAATAATATATAGTAGCGAAGTACATAACGAAGAAATGCCTTGTCGAGTGAAGAAAACGACGTGGACGGCTCGATGAAAAACGACATTCAGCGTAGTTCTGGAAGTTTGCAGCTGAGGAAACGTTAAAGTTATGCTGATTTGATCGGACGCAGTGTGAATAATAGTGGATATGACCAGTGGTGGGTAAATTAAAGACTCGGTTTAATATGGGAGCAGTCGGTTCGAGACGGCGCGGCGAGAATTCCCGGTGAGCAGAAGAGTGATCAAATCTGAGCTGTCGAGATGTGCTTCCGTGGAGAGCCATTCAAGTGAATTTGCATCGAGTGGCAGGATAGGAATCGTAGAGGGATTCGATGCTGATGTAGATGTGAAAGGAGACGCTATTGCGGCGTCAACAGGACCATCTGGGATGATGCATCCGATTATTTTTTTAATTCAACCGTTTTCCACGCGGAAGACGACCCCATCGACCAAACGTATTTGCGGTCTTTCCTGTTCTCCGAGTCCTTTAGCCTGAACAAAACGTTGACGTCTATCGCACGCGAATTGCTCGTTAATATAGCCTAACGAGAAAGCCTGGAAAGGTAAGATATCACAGACACGAAGATCTATTTTTGCCCGTGTGTCAGATAGCCATAAGTTGCGCGTGATCGCAGAAGTAAATCGCACACTCAGCGACGCGGACAGAGATTTATTGCTTCTGATTCGTGTGACATACGCGATGTCGGGACGGGCAAACGACGTATTGATTGCGGATGCAACATGACAGATAGTATTTAGTAGGTCTATTTTCGCGAGACTCTGATATCATCATAGTCGCAATGCTATATTTAACGTGTTCGATGCACTATATGGAAGCACTCTTCAGGGTATTGAATTGTCAATTGCGGTAATTTCAAATTTCGCGAAGGCTCGTCTCGCGATAAGCGTCTGGAGAAACGATGATGAATTGCTTACACGAGTAGCAACGGACGCATTTAGATTTTCAATTTTGTTAGACAGTTGCTTCGTCTTTGTGGAACAATCGTCGAAATTTTTTAGCTCTCGTAGCTATTCGTAGGAGCTCCAAAGAGCTCCAAAGGCGAGGAGCAAACTTCTGCGAAGCTTGGACAATACCACTCAGAGTTAATCGATGCCATTGTCCCTTGGCTCCCGCTAAAGTAGCGCCATTGTATCGCCATCGCTTATAGAGACCATAAACGTAACGATTTATTCTACGATGACTCGTATCTCGAGTCGCCAGCAATGGAAGCGCCGCACTACGTACTACCATTTAACGCGACAGACTATAATAACTCCGTAGATTTAACAGTTATCGTTAAAGCAGCCGTAACCGCGGTAATTGTGTAAATTATTGTACGAAACGTCGTTACGTCTACGGCCTTATTAAAATCTCTCTATTCAACGATCTCGCGACTTTTATTTATTAAGCGTAATAAGTAGCCTGCCATAAGTTAAAGTCGACCATAATAAAGATTAAGATAAGGAATGACGAGGTTGATAATATGTTCCAAGGAATTTTCATCGCGTTACGCAGCTGGATATCGGGAGGAACATCTGGAAAATGAATCTGGGGCGTGCGCTTTGATATCGTGTGCTTGTAACTTACATGATAAACGAACGGTATTTAATTAATTTCATACGCATGCTCAGACAGTGTTATAAAATTAATTTGCAGAGTTTAATTGAGCACTTCCGTTGAGCGATAATTATCGTGGAATACTGTCATAGATCTCCCACAGATGGGAATCTAAAAACGTGATTAGAATGATAAATAGATCCTAAAACTGGAATATACCAACTTTGCTCGATCGTGGGAAACGGAAGATGTCGTTTTAAGTAACGATAATCGAAGTTTGACGCGCTGAACCGCGCACCAAGTTTTCTGAACATTTTTGTAAGTTGTTACGAGCTTATCGGAATTTACGCAAACTAGCTTGATTATTTTACCGTCTTGGACAATATTAAAGGTAGAATAGTTTTCGACAAACGTTGGACGATTCCTGAAGGTGTTCATTTGATACATCGATTATCACCTTCCTCGTAGATTTACTTCGAAAGAATCATTCAATTTCTTTTTCGCCATAAATAATAATTGATTTACGGGACGCCGCAGAACACGTTTACGAGCGGTCAGAAGTGAAATACGAGACCAATTTCGGAAACCTGATCGTCTGTTGACTCTACCTGGCAGATCGTTCGATAAACCGCAAAATATTTCGTATAATTAGTTATTAATAGCGGATCAAAGGATGTCAGAATCTTTTCTGCATGGGCACGAACAAGCGAGCCTAATTGACCGACAGGCATCTAGCGGCTATTAACGCGAGCTAATCGCTTTACGAGCCGCTCTTAAAGCCGGTTTTCTCCATGGTTCGCTATTATATTTCGGTAATAGCTCATCAATTTTTGGTCGAATCGAAAGATTTTGGCACCTTCGAACAAATCAGTCCGAGCCAGAGACGGTAGAAATTTAACACCAGCGACTTCCTCGCTGGTCCGTTGACCTTCACTTGGATAGATTTATATGGAAATTTTGAAAAAGTCGTCACGAACGAGTGTTTGACCCAAAAATTGATAAACAGAAAAATTGAATTTATTCGATGGCATGCGCCGACGAAGACTAGACCGCATACGTTATCTCTACACGAAATATTATTAAAAAAAAAAAAAACTGTATTTTGCATACTTTTCACATATAATTTCCATAGTACCACTCACAACGGTGTTAAAAATTCGACTTTCTTGCGCGCGAACGACCCAACGATCGAAAACCGGACAGAAACTTGGAATCGTCCGAGACCTAATTAGAATATAAAGTCTTCCTGGTCGAAAACGAGTAAATTGAAAATTCTGGAAGTGACGTTAGCATCGTAAACTCGGCTCGTGTCGTTGTCCTTAACGGTAGGAGTCGAGGTGTCGGATAAAATCAAAGAACGTGAATTTCGGAGAGAAATTCGAAGGCGAGAGAGGACCTAGAAGCACGAGATCCAATTGGCGATGCAAATTTCGGCGTCCGCGAAAAATGCACGCTATCGAGGAATCGAATTCTGGTGGAGATTTTCGAGGGGTGCGCTGACGAAGACGAGAAGTAAATCGACAACTTTCCATCCTGTCTTCGAGCGTCGAATAACCGTCGCCATCAAATGTCAAGGTGTTCACCGAAGTGAAAGGACACCTGTATTTCTACCCTTTTTTCCTTGGCGTTATTCGCACCGTGGAATAATTAATAAATTACCTGCGCCGTCTGCCAGTGATTTTGGCCGCGACTAATTGATTCGTTCGCTTGGAGAAATTGGTATTGTTCGATTGACGTCGAACGAACGTGTCGATTCACGAAAGGAAATTCCTTGCTTAAAATCGCTGCATTTCTGTGGGGAAGTATCCTCGTTTTTGGGTTCGAAAGAATCGATTTCTTTTTTGTTGCTTCGAAAATGAAATGTGCCTGAAAAGGAAAGCTTGAAATTGGGACGTTGATCGAGTCGTCATAGTCGAGAGTCGGTAGGTCGCAGCTGCGTTTCTTCAAAACCGATATCTTTCATCGTGAACATCCACTCTGAACTAACGAACAATGAACAGAGTCTGGAAGAGTAATGGAAACAACATGCACCGCTGTTTTATCTAACGAAAAACGAACTACGAGTAGTAAAAGAAAAATTGCATCACGCAGAGCAAAGCTGAAGAGCGAGGTTCGTGGAACGAGGCTGTTTTACAATTATCTTGTAAAACTGTAATACAAGGTCTTGATGGAGAAAAACCTAATGTCGAGCATTGGTAAAAAAAATAATGTCCACTTGGACGATACCTTTCAGCTGTGAGTTCACGAACACCTGTTTAGATGGGATCGAACAGTTAGGTCTCGAGGAGAGGCCACCAACGAGTCGCCTCTTCGCGCTGACTTATAAGAGCATTTGACCCAATATACTCGTATCATGGACGGAGGCAAGGTAAACGTTCCGAAGCTTTCCACGTAGTTCGATGCAGCAATCGATAAAAAGTAGTTTGCTCGGTTGAATCGCGACGAAAATTACAATCGACTTGGTAGAAAAGTTCGTTTCTCGTTTAAAACTGTTGCAAATCGGTTCACGTATCGTCGTTTTTCAAATCCTCGATCGACGAACACGTTACGATCGCGATAATTATTCAGGTGGCCTTATTTACAGGCTTTTATCCCTAGTTAAGATAAAAGTTGGGTAGATGACCTTCCACATTACAAATTTATACATTCCATCTTCATATGTATTCGTCCATAAACAGTTTTATTAGGCTATATCGCGTTAAAAGCTTGATAACGGCGATGAAGCGAAGAATTCTTCAGGAATTCGCAATAACTTTGCTGCAACGCGACAAACCTCCATCACAGCTGACGTCGTTAATTAAATCGTAGCCACGGTCTGTCCACACCTCCTCGATCGTCGCTAAGTAACACGTTTCGCTCTAATCTGGTCCCCTCGCTGCCAAACAACGGAATTTTTAATAAAATGCGTCGAAAGATCGTCGCGTTTCCTTCTTTTTCCAGGTCTCTCCATCTTCTTACGTAGAGAGAACTGGGTGCCACACGTGGACCTTTCTCAGGGGACAGATAACAATCCGAGGTCAAACTGGACCATCTCTTTGGGTACGAAGCACAGATGGACAGAACTCACATCTAGATGAAAAATCTCCAACGACAAATAAAAAGAGAGCAGCTCTTGATCCGTTATTTGTTAAGATTGTTCAGTGTATCCCCCTTCTTCTCTGTTGAAACTTCAAGTTACACACTTTTCAATACGTTCACTGTCAGACCCATACATTTAAACATTTCTGTAAAAGTAACTTGATCGAAATTCCAGAATTTTATTTATTTTCTTTGATACTTGTCACCTACGTATGGAATGTATAGAATATAGGTATAGAATGTCAACGAACGAAAAGTTTCTGTTACAAAGTGAGCGATGGTCCCCATTACACGACCGAATTAGGCTCAACCAAGAGTCAATAAAATGAAAGCTTATCCGAGTAACTGTTCCGTGGAATAAACGCTGCGAATAAATCGCTATAGAGAGTTTTTATTCGCCATCAATGATTCCAATAAAATTCTGTCCATCCCCGCGCTCGATACTGGCCGCGAGCCTGTTTCACCGGTTAAAAATATATTTCAGAAACGAGACGCGTTACTTAACCGGGTGGTTAACAAGTTCGTGTCTCGAAGTCACGAGACGATATCGAACGGGCCCCCCTCGGCAGGAACGCGAGACGAGAAGACTCGTTCGTTTATGGCCGATCATTTCGATGGCTGGTTTCTGCAGTGAAAGTTCTGCAGGCGTAAATTATCCGAAAATTTGACCGTCTCAATCACATCCATTTGGCAAAAACGCGATGTTCGACGCGGGAGACGACCGAGTGGACCGAGGATTTTTGTGAAATTCTTAAGATACGAACGCGAGTACCGAACGACGACGGCGGATTCCACGAAATGTAAAAGTGTTAAGACACTTTATCCGACGGGAGTCGCAAAAATTATTGTCGCGAACAAATAAAAAACAGGACGCGTATCGGGAGTAAATAGAGAATGAAGATAATTGTAGATTAATTATAAGAAGAGATATTCCGATGGGCCGGTTTAGGCGTGACACGAAAGTAGCACAATTATCTTGTAACGTTTCTTATTAAGACGGTTCATCCGTTTGATGGTATGGGTCGCAATAATTAGCGACTGAATTGAAGGGAATTCCTGCAGCCGATTACTCGGAGCACATGAAACGATTGACATTGTTCCAAGGCGTTCAGCACCGGTTGCCACTGACATTAATCTGAACCGAGGCAAACAAAAAAATGGCCACAGAAGCGGCGTTACACGGACTGATTTACCAGATTGCACAACCCATGATTAACGGGCTCCGACATTAGCTTTCTGACACGTCGCTGTCGGCACACGCCCGTCTCGTGGATTTTACCGCGTTCGAAAGAAAGTTAACAGGCGTTTAAACGGTAAATTAAATGGAACTTTTGCACAGCGTACACCTGAAACGCTCAATGTCAGCTGATTCAGGCTAAAATGGTCCCAACAGTCGCGAACGTTAGATCTCGCTTTAGTTGGAGATTATTTGTCCGTGGGAACGTTATCTCCGTCTTGGATCGATTGATTCAATTTATCGATCGTTGATCCGCAAGTGAGAAATTTACAACGCCAATAATATATAATATTTATCAACTCGAGAGTCGTAGTCGAGAAAAATTCACGAACGAGTCGTATTTTAGCATAATCTGACTTATAAATTATTATTATCGAAAGAGATACTATTTCATAAATTTGATGGATCCGTACGTTTAACGGAAACATAAATATGCGGAACGTGTATTTTTACGATGCCGCTGAAAAGAATCTCCCGCGAAGAAGTATTTATAACGCGTCGTCGGCGTCGTCTCGAGCACGCGATGACTTAATATCGAAAATGATATTAGTGCAGCTTGAAATAAATCAGAGGTGGTTTCTAAACAACAAACTAACGATTCTTCCGATATCAGCGTGTCATTTGATCCCCTGAATTCTTGGGATACCAACGAAACGTCAACGTCGGAGGCTGATTTAAAGGACACAGCTCACACCCGGAAACGTCAGTTATCAAGCACCGCGATTGCTCGCATAGTAATTTTATCGCATATAGACGATATTTCGCAGGATCGATCGCACCTCTCGCTGCGTTCGGTATCCGACCAATTAACAACTAGCGCCCCGAGGAACGGTTGATAGAACGTGTGCAAATAGCGGTTCACCGGAGGAAGTGTTAGGAATCACGTGATAACAGGTCAGAAATCGGTACATGCTACTTCTTGTTCGACATGTAAATCGATTGGATCTTTTTTTTTCCTTCGTCGATCAGGTCGGGAGAGACACGCTCCGTTCAGCGCGCGCACAATCACGGGCCGAGCAGGTTCCCTCGCCTGACCACAGCGAACTGGTTTTAACATAATATTTAGTCTGCCTTCGTTCGGAGATATTTATTACGCGAACGCGATAAAATTATCGACGACAAACGGCGTCTCCTTCGGACCAAGGCTAAACCGACGCAACCAACAGGCTCTGCTCGGCAATGTTAATCGCGATGAAAACGAACCACTCTTTCCCTCCATGAAATCTCGTCCGGAATGTACAGATGAGGATACGCTTTAATTGCATTTGAGAAGAAACGACCGATTCCTTATACGTTCCTGGGATATATCGGGTTCTTTGGCGCTCTATAATTCCTCTTATGGTTGATAGCCACTCGATGACAAAATGGGTAAACACATGGTTAAGTAAGATGAACGCATCGCGAGGAATGGTTTCGCTCTTTAAAAATTCATCAAAGACGATTACTACCAACAAAAGAAAAAACTGTTTTCGCTGTTTGTAACGGTACAGGTTTACTAGTCTCACACACGTGCACAATAAATCAATACGTACATTCGTAATACTCGAGAAACGATTGTGGCGATGCCGACACTGAAACTGAAATTATGTTCAGTTTCGGAGTTTAATGAATTATATCTCACAATCAGTAACGGAACGGTCAATGATTTTTATTATTATAAAATTCTTCGTTAAATAAATCAACGGAACAACTACACGAATTTCTCGACTAGAGTGCTATATTTAGTCATCCATGTTCCATCAAGTGCAAAACAACTAATTCCGGGAGGTATTTATAAGTGGATGTCATTCGCACCCGGTTTACACGGTTTCCTATGCAAATTATTGTCAATATCGTTCATAAATTCAGGGCGAGGCTGTCAACGTGATAACGCGGAATTTTTCATCGACGCCTTCAATTTTGCCGTCGAGGAACGCCAGTTTCAATGAATTAGCGAGAAACGATCGCACGCTCGATATCTAAATCCTTTGAGAAGAACTGGTCTCGACGCTGGGAAATCGATTTAGAAATCCAGCGCTTCGTAGTATTTACACGCGAATGTGTGTGTGTATCTTGGGAATAACTCAATTATCGATAACAAGACTTCAATTGGTCCGAATGGACCTTGATGTAACCCTCTCGTCGTTTTGCGCTTGTTGTTAAGTGTGAGCAAAACGACGTTTAATTGGCAACGAATAGGTCTCTGATAAAAAAAAAAAAAGCATTCGCTTCGTAATTGTCGATGACAGGTTGATCGAGGGGTTATCTTCGTTAATTTTCACGATATATATCGTGGCAACTTTTAGACAATTCGACAAACAAAAATGTGCGTTAAACGAGAAGAAGAACACAAGTAGACTTGAAACGGATAGGAATGCAACTGCTGTTAAGAATAAAAGTAAAAGTGAAAGTAAATAAAACTAAAATTAACGAGAGATAAACAAATCGCTGTTGGCTATGTTGAATACATAGACGATTGTGGTTGTTTGCGGAAGAAGTGAAATTTCAGTTAGAAAATAAGAAAAAAGAAAGAGCAGAGCGTATAAGGTCACAGGTGCAAAATTAGCACGGAAGAAAAGGCACAATAGCGAAGAAGTGGGGACGTGACTCGGAGTTTCTCAATGCGAAATTTGCGTATCTGATTCGAACCTGTTGGTATGGCGAGTAGCGCGTACGCGTAACTTGGCTCGATTTTGTTCGACGGCATGAACTTGATCCATTAGTATTGTGCAATGCTTCGCGAACGAGTAGGCAGCTCGTTTTACCGCTGTCCGATATAAAACGCGAGCTATGTAGATGGACCCATTTCGCTTGTACGTTATCCTGACGATTGTGTGACACGTACACGGTTTCACAATTAACATACAAAACCAAGTATTACTTTTTAACCCTCTACAATCCTGCTTGAAGGTTGTAACATCAGTTACGTATTTGACGTGTCAATCAAATTCGAGTTAAGATTTCTCTCATCTGGAAATAGCAAAGCTATCTCTAATTTCGAAGCGCTAACCACACACACACACACACACACACACAAAGTATGTGTTTTTATTATTGATGCGTCGAAAGGGGAACGAAAGGTGGCACGTTGACTTATCCATTAAGTTATTAGGTGGCACGTGAACAAATTCACGGGTCGCTGAACGTTCATCCAGTTTTAATGTCGGCGTGCTTGCACGTTCGTTGTGCGAGAGTCAAATGGCACACGCTCTCTGAGAAAGATCTTGGAGAAAGAACGGTGAATCTCGATCTCGTTGCACTATTCCAGTGGCTAGCACGGACATTCGTTTCACCTTTAGGAATCGCGCACTGACCTCCTGAACTCGATGATCCGTGGAAAAAATCCGCCGATGAAACCTGATCGACCAGTTTCAGAGTGAAAAATGCGAGCCACGTTTTTCACGAGGGATCAAAGTTAATCTACGTTCACCGTGAAGCGAGAAGCGAGAAGCCTGAGGAGGATCGAGTCCGTGCATTCCTATTTGTTGCGATTTAACTGGCTGAGATCGTAACCGATAGGATCACACTCCTGAGCGAGTGTTCCACTATTCAGTCCTGTCTGTTCACTTTCTTTTTCCAACCTATCGCGTACAGGACTAATCAGGATTAATTGATAATTCACTTTTATTTATAACGGTTTCTTTGGAATCTGTCACTCGTTCACGGGGAATTGTTTTTAGTTTTACATCAACAATAATCGATCGTTCGCTCTCATTTATTTGGAATGTAAGATACTTGTTTATCAAAAATTATTTTTACTTTCAGATTGTCGGTAAATAGTTGGATATTCGGATAGGTTTGCTTGAATTCGAGTACAACGTAGCTGGTTACACAACAGGAACACGAGACAGAGATTTGACGTTTCGATCGTTTGGAATGGAGTCGCCGGAGTTATTTTCCATTGCCATAAGGCTTTGATAAACTAGCCATTCACTTCGTTAAAGGCAGCCATCGGGACAACACAATAAACGTTAAGTTCATTACGAAGCTCGATTGCCCGTTATCTCTCGAAATCAGCATTGGTATTCGTTTGTTGGCTCGACGTCGGATTATGCGATCGTTTCGAGCATCGCTTTGGAATCTCTCTATAGCCGCGACGATGTACTTGGTCTCGTTAGAAACTTTCGTTCCCTTTCTTCTTCAGGGGGGCACTGAATACGCTGAATTTTAAGCAGCTGTTCGTTTATCGGGCAAAA